CTGTGTTACACCCACTACCAGAATTTACCCTTAGTGGTCTTGAGGAAGGTTGCAACACATTCTGCTCCTTAACCAGACAAAACAGGAGTTCTAGTCTTTGGAGCAGTCCTCAAAAAAGAAGCTGATTAGTCAGTCACTTCACTTGGATGGGATTAAATTGATCTCCAACAATAAGGTAAAAAACCTTGGTTTTATTGTTGATTAAGACCTGTCATTTTAATGAAAATTAAAAAGGATATCTGCCCTATCCCAGCTTCTCTTCATTGGCTTCCAGTTTTAGGATTCAAAATCCTCCTGTTCACTTATAAAGCCTTAAATAACCACGCTCCGTCTTACAACAGAGATCTGATTGTTCCAAACAGAGCATTTCACTCTCAATTTGCAGGTTTACTAGTGGTTCCTAGAATGTAGAATGGGAAGCGGTAATCGGGCTCCTCTCTTCTGGAACAAACTACCAGTTTTGGTCCGTAAGGCAGACACCCTGTCTACTTTTAAGGCAAGGCTTAAAACTTTCCTTTTTGATAAAGCTTATAGGTCAAGTAGCTCACGTTTTCCTAAGCTATCTCTATAGTTAGGAGGATATAGGCTAAGACTGCTGGAGGACATAGGGACCCCTTTTCATCATTCTATCCCTACTCTCCCATTCTGCAGTATTCGTTAGCTCAATCTCTAACGCTATGCTCTCCCTGCTTTTCCTCATCATAGTAGCTTCATCTGATCTGATCCTGTTTGGCTGTGGTAACATCCCAGAGATAAGTATCAGCTGTGTTTCTGCCATTAACATCTTTGTCTATAGCTGTTGGAGACTAGCCTGTTTTTCAGTCTAGACCTGTTTATCTTACTATAGTCCCATTAACATTACCCTTTTGAAACCATGCCAAGAACGGTATGAGCACAGTTACTGAGATAACTGTTGAGTGAAAATAGAATGCAACTGAACTGGACCATGCCAGATACAACCGAACTATGCTAAATCTAGTACAAGTTCAACAGTAGAGCTTGGCATGGTTCAGTTGTGGCTCGGTTCTCTGATAACAAAGAGTGCATGAGCAGACCGTGTCATCTCCTATTTTTCCAGCTTTCCGGTTTTCCGGCGTGTCTGGCTTTACAATTCACAGATCTCTTCAACTGTTCACAACACAAACTTCTCAGCATATTAACAATAAACCTGGTGCAACCTGGGATGATGCAGAGACCGAGGCTGTCATTGAAATTTGGGCAGAGGACGCTATCCAGGCACAAGTTCCTTAATGCTATGGGCACCGGGATTTTTTTTGGGGTGTAATTTTTAGACTTAGACAACTTTTGTAATTTTGTATACACAGTGTATACAAATCGAAATTTCGATTAGTACAGCTTTTCACACAGTAAATGAACTTTTCCATTCCATAAAGTGCAGCAGTGATCAGATGTAAACAGTTTGGGAGAAAAATATGGTGCAAAAAACGCGTTGATATGGAAGTTAGGAGCATTAAATATATATGGTGCAATTTTGCAGTGTTTTGATTTGGGGTTATCAGTGTGATGCAGAGTTTGTGACATGATTTAGAGTTTTTTCGGCAGTCTGATGGCGGTGGGGAAGAAGCTGTTGCAGAATCTGCTGGGTTACATCAAGTGCTGCAAAGTTTCTTCCCAGAGGGCACCAGGGAGAACAGTCCATGGTGGGGGTCGAGGGGTCATGATGATGTTACGGGCTCGGGACACGCAGCGCTGGGATGAAATGTGTTTTATGGAGGGAAGAGGAGCCCTGATGATCCTCTCTGCCATCCTCAATACTCTTCTCACTTTCTTCCAGTCTAAGGGACTGCAGCCTTCACACCACACAGTGAGAATGCAGGTCAGAATGCTCTCTGTGATGCTTCTGCAGGAGGTCATGAGGATGGGTGGGGGCTTGGGAGCTATAGAATCGTGGACCGCCGATAGGATGCGAGGAGCTGTGCTAGCGTGATGTGTAAATGGTCGTAAGAACCAAGCTTGGCACTGTTAACTGATCCAAGTTCGGTCCGAACTCAGCAGGGATCGGTTACAGAGGGGTAGTGTAAATGGGGCATATGACTAACAAAATGGGCTCTCTTCAATCCTCTGACTTGGGAGCTGGCTCGGGGCTCTTCTGCCTGGCTGTGTGTTTCCAGGACGGGGCCACCTGTGAAGCTGGTTGAGAGTTACTGTTTGTATCTCTGCTTCTTTTTGTATGTCTGCTTTTGTCTCATTGAACCCATCTGCAGGTGACCACTCGGAGTCTGGTTCTGCTGGAGAGTTCTTCCTGTTAAAAGGGAGTTATCCTCTGTACTGTCGCTACAAGCATGGTCGGTGTGAGGGATTGCTGAAGAGTCAATGAGTCGATGCAATAGGGTGGTTTTACTTAGAAAACTTTTAACCAACTGACTGTATGATCTGATTGAATAGTCTCTGTAAAGTGCCTTGAGATAACATGTGTTGTGAATTGGCACTATATAAATTAACTGAATTTAATTGTGTCAGTGGATCAATACCAATTTTAAAAAAGGGGACACTTCTCATGGAAATTAATATTTTAGTTATGTTTAAGTGAGATAACAGAAATCATACCTGACATTTAAATTAATACTTAATAACAGCTGAAGGCTTTAAATGTTATACATAGCAGAAAGGTGCAGAAAAAAAAACAAAACAAACAACAATCGGTAGAGCGTGTGGTCAAAATGCCTTAGTGCTCCACTCTGGACCTGTGTATTTCTGACCTAAAAATATGATTTTTGAAGTTAAACACTCATTCCCCTGTTTACGAAACATCAGCAAAAACAGGGCTCCAATTCTAAAATAGCTGAACACTCCCCTAAGGTTGCTGACGGGGTGCAGCGTAGCACGGAAGACAACCCAGCTGGAAACAAGGCAACATAACAGCTTCCAGCCAGAAAAAACATCAAATAGGACAATTTTAGACATCATACCAAAATATTTTTTGGGAGACAGCCTGGAAGTGACTAAAAGAATGTTAATACTGTCTGGACACACATGGGGGGGGGATGCATCCATGAGCCACAACAACAGGAGGACTCAGAATGGTAGAGAGCTGCTTCTGGCAAAATTGGTCATTATGTAGGGAAGAAGTGAATGTTTTACTGATAGTTTAGTGGAGAAAGTAATTTCTACGTATCAGGAAATTCATATCTTTTTCATTGACTGATGTATGCTAATGTAAACAAACAGCAGGGATTCTCCCCAAGCAGTGGTGGAGAACCCTGCAAATCTATCAGGAATGTTTTTAGAATGACAGTTGCTCATTGTTTTTAATAACAGGACTGGTTAAAGAAATAGTGATCAAAATCTAGTGGATTACATAGCTGTTAGTCAAACCACAACACTGTCGTCATCGCTGTGTTCTGCTTTTATGTGTCAACTCGCTCCTCAATCCATTCCTGTTCAACATTTATTCTGATGACAATAGGGGGCTTTGTTTATGTGTGTTGAGCATGCTAGGAGCTCGTTTGTCCCCCAGAATCCACACTTGACGTAGAGGGATGCTGTATGTGGGACAGATACGGATCTATTAATTTGTATTCGTTCTTCATTGCTCATATAAGACTCAGCAACACAAGATGTTAGTGTTCAAAACAAAACAGAAATGGAAGCAAACAAAATAACATATGCTCCGTGGAAGCTTGGAACAGATCAATACCCTGTAGATATAATTTTAATACCGTAATTCTCAGTTTTTTTATTTGTGTTGGAGATTGCCATTTTTAACCAAAAAAATGTTTTCGACTAATCTTTGTCAAAACTCATCAAAGTTTTGGAGGTGTGTCTATTTCCCTTGCTCCTAATTATCTAAATCAGTTTTCGGTGATAGTAAAAAGATGCAAGTACATCTAAAACAATAAAGAAAAATAACGCGGCCTGACATGTTAAATAGTCATTCCACTCCCTCTACCTCTCTATTGTTGAGAAGTCGCTCCAGGTCAGCTGCCATGTCGTTCTTCACTTGTTGGAGAGCATTTCGCTCCTTCCTCAACGAACTGCAGTCAGAAAAACAGGAATAGATTAGATTTTGTCAAAATAAAGCTATGCTAATAGGAAGGTATTTCTAGAACTCTGTAGCACAGGATCTCGTGAAGCTGAGGGATCTTAATTACTTTATAGTCCAAACACCTCTTGTATAGAGATTACCTCTGCAGTAGATATTTGTACTCATGACTAAACTATATTACTATAATATAAGTTGCCTTCAAGTCATACAGAAAAAGACTTAACATAATCAAAGCATATAGAAATTCAATATAATTTTCCTCTATTTTAGCCAGAAGTAATAACACATTTAAGAACATAATTTGTTTGCTTCATCAGCAGCCAATTTTCAAAATGCAATTCACTAAAATTACAACCAATATGACATGCACTGTTGACATGTTCCATCTAAGGCTGTAAAACAAGCTAGAACATGTGGTGGTGTGCTTTAAATGCAAATCAACACAAAGCCTGATCTCCATTCACTGAGGAATCTGAAGGGACAAAAAGGATTTAAATGTGTGTTATCAGAGAGACCAGAACATGAAAAGATAATCTCCTGAGAGTTAAGTCTCTGTTTGCAACAGATAGTCCTGCAAAGCCACAGGGAGACTTCAGTATCCCTGACAGATGCAAGGAGGCTAGAGAAGCTTGACAGCATTTAAAAAAGAATTTCCCCCTCCTTCCCCTGCTTGCCCCAGGTGAGCGCTCACTGCTAGTGTGCAGCAAGAGAAAACCTGCAGTCTGTCAGCTTGCATATTTGTCAAGCCAAAATACAGTGGCAACGAGCAGAAATATAGGCTGGAGCCAGGCAGGTGTATTCATTCTGATGTGAGATAATAAGGAAACAGGAAGGTTGCAGTGGGTAAAGAACAGTTTATTCAAAAAGAATGCCGGAGAATGAATGGGGAACAATACGCTGTATTTTACCTGACTTCTTCCTCAAGGGATGAGAGGCGTTCCTTTAGTGCGCTAAGCTGTGCATCCCTTTCCCTCACCGTCTGGATTAGAAAGCTGTAAGGCTGCTGGGTCTGCTGCAACAGCTGGTTGGCTGCAGACAGCTAAGGTTCAAAACACAAATGACAAAACTGGTATTAGCACCCAAAATAAAGAATAAAGCTGTAGTTCATAAGCGTTAAATTAAAATAATTCATAAATGTTTGAATATATCTGATGCTGTTCTATGATGTAGAGATAAAATTATTTCACTGCAGTCCCTCACCTGGCCTCTACGTCTAGACAATCCAGAGACGCGCACCTACAGCTTTCATCAAAAGCTTTGTCAATCAAACATTATGCAAAGCAGGGTGAGAGAAAGTGAGATACAAAAAAGGATCAAATATAAAAATACCTCAACTGCATTTTTTCCCCTGAATTTTAGACGGTGTTAATGCCTTTCAACAAAACTTTCTGCGAGTGCAAAAAACTTTAAAGTTTCTCTTAAACAAGTAAAAACATTTTTAAAAACTATTCAAACAAATATTGCGTGCATGGATGTGTGTTAAGGAGGGACGACTTTCAGCTCCTTCAGGAGGAGAGTGGAAGCTAAAGCGGTGATTTAAAAATCTCTTCAACATGTACAGATTATAGCTCTGAAAGAACCTTTGATAACAAATAATAAAAAAGAAATGATATTTGATATACACAAACATAAGTTTCTTTTGGAGACTTTAGGTGAGAGCAACAGAAATCATTGCATATTTTCAAAGAGGAAGAAGAAAGAAAATTTTCTTATCTTATTTAAAGAGTCCTCACCTGGATATCTGACTTAATCAATGTTAAAATGTGTGTGTTGGGCTTCAAATTAAACCTGTCAGGAATTCCCTATAGAGAAGGTGGCTTGGTTTTCAACAATTGGGCTCTTTGTTCAAACTAGGAAAGCCCACAAGAGTACACAAAAATTAAAAGACGATTTTATGTAAAACACTAGGTATGGTTCCTATAAACTTGCAGTTATGAGGTTTGCTTTAATATATAAAGATTTTTCTTTATTTAATCCCCTCGAATTAAATCCAGTGTAATTCTAAGAATCAATTTTCCCCCAATCAGTTAATTACTTATTAATTATTTATTAACTAAATAATTAAACTTAATTTATAAATTCCTACTGGTGTCCACAAAAGAAAAGAAATAAAAACTTTAAACAGGCTATATAAATTGAACACCTACATTAAAACTAATAAAACAGGAACAATTAAACATTAAATGAAAACTATTTATTTATTTTTATAATTATCCTGTGTATCCTATAGCGACAGAAACCTATTTCCTTCCAAAGGCATAACACAGTTGTGTTTTTCCCTCAAGACATATCACTCAGCTATTATCATGCTTAAAAATCAACAGATAAATTCACAGTGTTACACATTAAGCCACTTTTATTGCCAGGTAGTAGTGAGCAGAAGAAGGTGCGAGAGTCTGAACAATAGTGAGTTAGTCAGGGCATCTGTGTGGGTGGTTAACAGGGTAACACCCTGCCTCTCGACAGCAAAAGGAAATGCCACTTTTCACTCTTTTCTTTAACACTTGATGAATCACGAGGTATTCCAGACGAGTACCAGTCAATCTTAGGTGACAGCTGAAAGCCCAGGCTATTTAGATTCAGATCTGCCTGGCCGCTCAACTCCGACCTGCACAAGCGCCTCTTAGATTAGAGTGAAAGGGCAAGCACACCACAGCTCACGGTTTCAACCTTCAATGGATGCTTCAGACATCGATGCATGTGTGGCAGCCATGTGACCGTGCAAAGTCTGTCGATCAAATCAAAAATTCAAGTCTTATTGTTGCATGCATATGTAAGCAGACGGCATGCCAAAGCAAACAAAAGCTCTATGACTGTTGTAAAGAGTTGGATGAGAAGTGAAGAGCAACACTGTCATGGTTTTTGACTCCATTTGCCATCCACTGTGTCAACAGAAGTGACAGATACCAGTATGCTCCTCTCATATAAACTCTTATCATTTCTTAAACTTGTCTTTCCAATGGATTCATTATGAGGTCAGAATAAGAGAAGACTCACTAATAAGTCTTAAGGTGAGTGATTTTGAATAGTGTTATGTGGAAGTTATGAATGTGAGAGCAGTCAGTATGCAACATGTTTTTTCTCTGGTTTTCACTTTAAACAAAGCAAAACAAACGACATCTGTGGTTCAATTGTAGTTCCGAATAAGGGATAACTGCCAAGAGTTCCTCTGAAGATCTAGGTTGGCTCAGTTGTTTCTCTTAAATTATATAACGCCACACAAACACAACAATCTTATAATTGCAGGTTGATAGCTGAATTAAAATATGCAACTTAGGTGGAAGTCTCTCAAATACTTGGCACATTTAGCCTGACAGTTTCCCGCAAACTTTAAACAGCCTTCAGCCTTAAAGAGGCGGGTTAACCCGCCTAGTGGTCTTCCTCACATTTCAAGCACCCAAACATCCTACATATATATCAAGACGTGAGTGGAGCAGCAGCTGGTTTCTGCCCACATCTGCTGCCTAATAAATCCTCTGTAGACATGGGAGATTGCTACACAGTAGGGCTGATCGATTTTACCAAAAATTGCATTTTATTTGACTGATATTACAGTTGCTGTTTCATTATGATTTCCCTTTGCTCAGAGTATCATTGTTTTCATGACCTTAAAAAGCTCCATTGTCACAGGACTTTACTGTTACTGTTGTGTAGGAAATGCCTTTCTTCTACTCGCATGCATGGCTCAGCCCTCAAGCTGCATCGCTCTCTTTTCTTCTGCTTTACTACGCATAAATGTAAAGTAACCAAAACAACCCATTGCCTCAACCATTTAAAAAACTGCACTTTGTTAAATTGTGATAATATTGCAAATGCAATTATTTGCCCTACTAGTACATATTTTACTGACAAGAAGGGAATCCTGACAGTTACGTTTGTAGTTAAAGCAGCAAATGCAATAAATGTGACATATTCCCCATACACTGCTATTTCATAACTTATATTTCTTTATATCAACAATAAAAAAAGTTGCATATAAACAAATGAACATAAAGCTGAGCATTAGGATTTCTCACTTGAGAATCAGCATTCTGATTTAAACCTTAATGACCAGAAATTTAAATAAATACTGGTTCATAAATGGCTCAATAAATCTGTCTTCACTTTCAGCATTTTATTCCATCCAAACATTTAGAGAGTGAAAAACAAAACAAAAACTTCCCGTTTTACAAGCCAGACCAGCAGGATAATCGGTGTAGCTCAGACTTCCCTGTATGAACTGCAGAACTGATCTGTGATCATGGAGGCATTCCAAATGTCAACTCAACCTGGAATATTTTAAAATAAGAACTCTCCTTTTAGACACTTTTAGCAGTGCTCTTAAAAAAACTGCGATAGACTAAGATTCTTTTCTATTTTCAAAACCAAAACAAAACTCTGATGTTCCTTGGCTGTTCAATGCACCAGTGCGATTAAAACACTGCACTTCTATGGAAGACGAAAATTGTACTTTCAGGATCAATGGGAAATTATGAAGGTAGTCCGAGGAAATCTAAAGATGCAAAGAGTTGTTTTAAATAAAACAATGTTTTCCAGGACAAGTCCAGACATGTCTGTAGTTTATTAAGACTACAAAAGAAAGAGAGGATACCTTAAAGGCAGAATGGAAAAAAAAAAGGTTTCAAATATTCAACCTCTTTTAGGAAGTTTGAGAATTCAGCGAATGATCGAAAAATATAATTGGATTGGGACGACCTACTGTGCAGCGCTGTGACATAATTGCTTTATAAATGCGGCCATCAGGGAGCGCTAGACCAACGACTTCCAGGTCTAGTTATTAATATTGACTACACAACACACAGTCCTGCTAATAATAAATAAATAATCTCAGTCAAATAAAAGCTGTGAAGCAACCAGAGGTAAAATGGAGTTGTGTCAGAAAAGCATGTATGTACTTGACTTTACTTAATGAAAAACAAAAACATATTAGATCTTTTCCAATAAAGAAGGTCCCCAGGCAGGGACACACGCTGCATACAGAGCGTTTCTGTGAGTGAGTACCTCCTGAGACATCTGTCCTGTCTGGGACTGGTGTCTGTCCAGATCCCTCCTCAGTGATGTGTTCTGTCTCTCAAGCTGCAGCACCCTGCGGGCCAGATGAACACTGCACAATAGAAGAACCCACACAAGCACAGTTAGAGTTAAACAACTCTAACAAGATTGCACTTATCTTTATCTGCATGTTAACGAATATCAGAGATTCAGGAATTTGAAAAAAAATCAAAGTGGAAAACAAACACTGAACGTGTTTAATAATGTCCGTTAATCCAAATACAGCAGCTTGTGACATTGCTAGTGTTACAGGTATTGAATGAACAGCAGACAAAGGGAAGGTGATTATAATCTGATTTAAATAATTCAGGTTTTGATCTAACAATTCTAATCTTTTTTTTCATGTGATGCAGATAAAGACCTTTGATTTAATAAGATAACATGACATGCTGCATGTCTGGTGCTTTACCTTTGCTTTAGTCTTCTTTTAGCTGTCGTTGGAACGTTTGCACCGTATCCATATGAGAAGAGAATTCTCTCTGCCTCTTCCTCATTCTCAACTGGTAAAATGTTGAAATACAATTACACAGTATATAAACTCTCAGTATGGTCATAACAAAAGTTTCAGGAATTGGACTGGCCATATTCAAGAATACTTTCCTACTTAGATAAAAGAATTCATGGAGGTGATCTTTTTTCCTCGTGCCCCACATATTCACCATTCCTGCTGCCAAATTTCCATTTTATGAACCCACTTTTTTTTTTATATATAAATATATATATTTTTTAATATATATATATATATATATGTATATATATGTATATATATATATATATATATATATATATATATATATATATATATATATATACACTCACCGGCCACTTTATTAGGTACCCCATGCTAGTAACGGGTTGGACCCCCTTTTGCCTTCAGAACTGCCTCAATTCTTCGTGGCATAGATTCAACAAGGTGCTGGAAGCATTCCTCAGGGAGTTTGGTCCATATTGACATGATGGCATCACACAGTTGCCGCAGATCTGTCGGCTGCACATCCATGATGCGAATCTCCCGTTCCACCACATCCCAAAGATGCTCTATTGGATTGAGATCTGGTGACTGTGGAGGCCATTTGAGTACAGTGAACTCGTCATATTCAAGAAACCAGTCTGAGATGATTCCAGCTTTATGACATGGCGCATTATCCTGCTGAAAGTAGCCATCAGAAGTTGGGTACATTGTGGTCATAAAGGGATGGACATGATCAGCAACAATACTCAGGTAGGCTGTGGCGTTGCAACAATGCTCAATTTGTACCAAGGGGCCCAAAGAGTGCCAAGAAAATATTCCCCACACCATGACACCACCACCACCAGCCTGAACCGTTGATACAAGGCAGGATGATCCATGCTTTCATGTTGTAGACGCCAAATTCTGACCCTACCATCCGAATGTCGCAGCAGAAATCGAGATTCATCAGACCAGGCAACGTTTTTCCAATCTTCTATTGACCAATTTCGATGAGCTTGTGCAAATTGTAGCCTCAGTTTCCTGTTCTTAGCTGAAAGGAGTGGCACCCGGTGTGGTCTTCTGCTGCTGTAGCCCATCTGCCTCAAAGTTCGACGTACTGTGCGTTCAGAGATGCTCTTCTGCCCACCTTGGTTGTAACGGGTGGTTAATTGAGTCACTGTTGCCCTTCTATCAGCTCGAACCAGTCTGGCCATTCTCCTCTGACCTCTGGCATCAACAAGGCATTTCCGCCCACAGAACTGCCGCTAACTGGATGTTTTTTCTTTTTTGGACCATTCTCTGTAAACCCTAGAGATGGTTGTGCGTGAAAATCCCAGTAGATCAGCAGTTTCTGAAATACTCAGACCAGCCCTTCTGGCACCAACAATCATGCCACGTTCAAAGTCACTCAAATCACCTTTCTTCCTCATACTGATGCTCGGTTTGAACTGCAGAAGATTGTCTTGACCATGTCTACATGCCTAAATGCACTGAGTTGCCGCCATGTGATTGGCTGCTTAGAAATTAAATGTTAACGAGCAGTTGGACAAGTGTACCTAATAAAGTGGCCGGTGAGTGTATATATATATATATATATATATATACACACGAGATTATTCAAGAATTTTTATGTAGCTCCTCAGCAACAGCTGAGAGGTGGTCTTACTTTCAGCCGCCTGCATGGTAACCTGGTCCAACTCCTGCTCCATCTTTTCATATGTCTCAAGTCGTGATGCCTGCTCTGCATTCTGGGCCTGAAGCTCAGCCACCCGCTTCTCAGAGGAGGCTTGGAGCCTGTAAAACTCCTGAGTGAGAAGCTGGAGGGGAAAAGACCATAAGAGAGGAATGACACAGAGAGCCAAAAAAGGTTTCTGGCATGCCAGTTTTGCAAAATGGCATATGCCAGTTGGAAACTTGTATATGCCGGTTGCTAACCAGCATATGCCAGTTAGAAACTGGCTTATGCCAGTTGGAAACTGGTTTGTGCCAGTTGGAAACTGGTTTGTGTCAGTTCCTAACATGCTTATGCCAGTTTGAAAATGATTTATGCCAGTTGGAAACTGGTGTCTGCCAGTTGCTAACCAGCTTATGCCAGTTGGAAACTGGTTTGTGCCAGTTGGAAAGTGGTTTGTGTCAGTTCCTAACATGAATATGCCAGGTGGAAAATGATTTATGTCAGTTGGAAACAGGTGTCTGCCAGTTGCTAACCAGCATATGCCAGTTGGAAACTGGTTTTAGCCAATTGGAAACTGGTTTCTGCCAGTTGGAAATTGGTGTCTGCCAGTTGCTAACCAGCATATGCCAGTTGGAAACTGGTTTATACTAGTTGGCAACTGGTTTCTACAAGATGCTAACCAGCATATGCCAGTTTGAAACTAGTTTATACCAGTTGGAAACTGGTTTGTGCCAGTTTCTAACATGCTTATGCCAGTTGGAAACTAGTTTGTGCTATTTGCTAACCGGCTTATACTAGTTATAACCTGGTTTATGCCGGTTGCAAACTGGCATATGCCATTTGGAAACTGCTTGGTGCCAGTTGGAAACTGGTTTATGCCAGTTGCTAACCGGCATATGCCAGCTGCTAACCGGCTTATGCCAGCTGCTAACCGGCTTATGCCAGTTGGAACCTGTTTTATGCCAACTGCTTACGGCATATGCCATTTCGAAACCGTTTTGTGCCAGTTTCCAACCTGTCATTTAAATCAGATAACAAAGAGGTTTCTAGAATTTCATTCTTTCATCTGCGGAATATTGCAAAAATTAGAAATATCCTGTCCAGGGGTGATGCTGAGAAACTAGTCCATGCATTTGTTACTTCAAGGCTGGACTACTGTAATTCTTTACTATCAAGAAGTCAACAAACTGTAATTAAAAGCCTTCAGCTGATCCAAAATGCTGCAGCCAGGGTTATGATGAAAATTAAAAGAGAGATCATATCTCTCCTATCCTGGCTTCTCTTCATTGGTTTCCTGTTAAATCAAGAACATAATTTAAAACCCTCCTTCTCACATATAAAGCCTTAAATGGCCAAGCTCCATCTTATATCTAATTGTTCCTTATGTTCCCAACAGAGCTTTGCTCTTAAACTGCTGGTTTACTAGTGGTTCCTAGAATTTCTAAAAGTAGAATGGGAGGCAGATCTTTTAGTTAGCAGGCTCCTCTCATGTGGAACCAAGAACCTGTTTTGGTCCATGAGGCAGATACCCTGTCTACTTTTAAGACTAGGCTTAAAACTTTCCTTTTTGATAAAGTTTATAGTTAGAGTGGCTCAGGTTATCCTGAGCTATCGCTATAGTTATGCTGCTATAGGCTTAGACTTCTGAAGGACACAGGGACCCCTTTTTCATCATTTTGCCTCATTTTATCTTTATTCTCCTACTCTGCAGAATCTGTTAGTTCAATCTCTAACGTTCTACTCTCTCTGCTTTTTCTCATAGTAACTTGACCTCGTCTGTTCCCGTTTGACTGTGACAACATCCTAGAGAGAAATATCAGCTATGCTGCTTCCATCAACACCTTTGCTTATTGATGTTGGAGATTGGTCTGTTTTTCAGAGTAGTTTCTCTCGCTGTGATTAACTGGATGTGCTCTCTTTCATCCTCTGACATGGGAGTAGGCTCAGGCCCCGTCCACACGAAGTCAAAACGAACACGAAACGCTGATATTTTCCAAAACGTTTGCCGTAAAGACGGAGACGCAAAATAAATGTGAGCGTCCACACGAATGCATGAAAACGCTGCAAAATGTATGCCAGGCCTGTAAGTGGCGCTGTGGTGCCAAAGCAAAAATAAGTGACGAAATGTAGGGCATGCGCACTAATATTTATACATGGTTGCCCTGCGGGTCTATTTTCGTGGTTAAGTCAAATTCAGGTGCTGAACTATGTGGTCGATATTGCTCTGTTCTTCCTGGAAATATTCCAGAAGAAGAAGATTCTGTTGTAAGCCCGACCAGCCCGACAGCAGGGTGAGTAGCATTAGCAGCAACGGCGCCATTGTTGTTGTGATGTGTCGCGCTTGCGTGTTTAGAGGCGACGCTATGACGCATGCGTGTAAAAAAAAAAATGCGGTTAGGGTGTAAACATGGAAACGCGAAAACGGCGTTTCAGAATCTTCCCACTCTGAAGGGTGAATAAAAAAATGATCGTTTACAGACCCCCGAAACGCCAGCTTCGTGTGGATGAGAGGCTGGTTTGGTGAAAAATTTGTGCGTTTAGGCCAGGGTTCGTCTTCGTGTGGACAGGGCCTTAGAGCTCGTCTACCTGGCTGTCTGTTTCGTGGACGTGGCAACCTTTTAAAGTTGCCTTTTGTATCTCCGCTTTTAACAGGTTTCTTCCTGTTAAAAGGTAGTTTTACCTCTCCACTGTCGCTACATGCATGCTTAGTGTGCAGGATTGCCTTTAAGTCAATGAGTTGATGCACTGAACTGGTTTTTCTTAGATAGAAAACGTTTAATCAATTTGACTATATGATCTGGTGAAGTACCTTGTGTTATGAATTGGCACTACATAAATAAACAGAATTAATTGATCTGACGCCACATGCATATATAGAGCAGGGGCGGTAATCACCTATTGTTTGCAACCAGTGATGAAGAAGAAGTGTAAACACATATGCCAGTTAGCAACTGGCAAAAAACAGTTTTCCACTGGTATTTACCAGTTACCAACTGGCATATGCCAGTTACCAACTGGGTTATAGAAACCCAACAGACAACCAGGAACAGTACCTGGCTATGAACATTCTCTGGCATTTTTATAAATTGCTACCAAAACACAAACAGTTAATCTACCTTCAATTTGAGCTCACACTCATATCATAAAGGTATAATAAATATGGCCTATTTAATCAATAAGCCAGCTGCAATCAGTGTTGATACATGTGGACTAAATTGGGAGTGTGATCTTTGATATAACAAGAAAATGCCATCTGTGGCTTCAGTGTAATACTTTTACATTTAGAATATAGTTTTCATACAACATGTCACAATATCATTGTGGAAAAAAAGCACTAATTCCAAATACAGCATTGTCGTAACATAAAATGCTTGTGCATTGGAGTAGTTGGATGTTGAAATATTATCGAACCTTAAAAGCTACAGCTCAGGTGCTTTTGAACTGTTTTAGAGGCAGAAGTGGTTGCTCAGAAGAAAATCTAGAGAAAAAAATATCTTAAGGCCCAAAGTTCGGGTATAAAAAACTCTAATATATTCTTGCAGTTTGAGTGAAGCATGTGTGCATTAGTGGGTGTAATTTCTGTCCAAATTTGCGACTAGACACCATAAGTGCAAATTTGCACATCTAAAAATAGATTTTAACAGTTTTAAAATTTGGTGTGAAAAGTGCAATTCATCAATGGTGTGATGATTCTGCAGACGCTTCTTGATGCTTTGTGGTTAAATGAGATCATGCAAGCGTCTAGGACTACCTCCAGCTTCTTCTGCTGTTTCTCACACTCCACCTGGCACTGAGCCAGCGCCTTCGCCGTCTCTTCCTTGAGCAAAAGAGCTCGCTCTGCTTCGAAGGAGTGCAGCTTGGCCTGACTGGACAGCTCTGCTACTCGGCTGTCGGTGCCCAGCTGAAGCTGACGAAACCTGCAGAATAAGAAGCAAACACAGGTAGTCACACGCCTGGATAAATGACGGAGAGCACGTGGACTGAAAACCTGAGATCCCAGGCTTTTCAGCACACAGATTATGGTGATTCTTTGAAACAAAAACACTTTAGGGTTGGAGCATTTCACACAAAAGACAACCTCAGCTTTAAGCTCTGGTTGAGCAGGCATATCTAGTGATTAATCCGTGAAGATGCAGGTCACGTGTCAAACAATCTTACATCATAATGTTTGGATATTGGCAAAAAATAGACTGATTGGTATGCCTTAAGCTATATTCAGTTCATGAGAAGCAGTGTAGTGACATTTAGGTTTGGCAGTTAAAAAATTATATCTGATAAGCTTGCAGATAAGCCAAGCAGTGAATCATCTCCCAGGACTGCTTAAAGCATTTTATAATCTTTTGATCTTCAGCGATTCTCCCTGGAATTTACAAGATGCTTTCTATTTAGCATTTTATTAAAAAGAAAAGAAAATAGAGTGGGTGCACATATGCTCCCTTGTACATTTCAACCTTTGATGTTACAGGTTATCAAACTAAACTTTACATCTGTGCGGCCGATGAACCTGATCTCAATCCATGCGTGGTACAAAAACTCAATATGGATAGGGGCATTTATTTTTTTCTCAAGATTTTGGTTTTTCTTCTAAATAAACCTTCTTTTTGAATTTACTCAGGATTTCATTGTCTGATATCCATATTCGATGTTTGAAGAAAAAAACAAAATAAACCTTTTTTATTGCTCTGTATCTTTAAAATAACCTGCTGATAGAAGTGGTTCGTTATTCGTGTATAAAGAGATATTTCCTGTTCTAAATAACTTTTTTAATTATCCTTAATTAAAATTATGATTGTTATTTTATTAATACAAAATATCATCTGCCTTATCTGAGACATCAAACAGAAAGAAATTTCCTTTAATAACAGAAACATTTGTCTTCAGTAAGTTAAAAAAGCTCCTCAAGCTGTGCCCAAGCACGCACACACACGCTCTATCAAGCCACGGAGGTTGGTTGGATAATATTAATAACTCGATTACAGCTGACCTGATGAGATTTCATCACCCATGGAGCGCAGGCCTTAGCTGTGCTCTCACACCGACAGACATGATTGAAATTTTATGCCTTTTTTTATAAATGGCAGCTGCCATGGCTGAGCAAAGAAGCTAAGCTCACAAAATGAAGGAAAATAAAATGATTTTATATATATGGAACATATTTTCAAAGATGACACATCGTTTTGCTTTCCAACCACTGATAATGTGCAGGTTTGCTTCAAAAGGGAAAGTTAAAACTAAATAAAAACTTAGGAATTTTTTTCCTTTAAGGTGATAAATGACTATTGTTAGTAAACTATAGACATACAGCATAGAGATTTGAGCTTGTATTCAGTGTCTGAACCACTGGACGCCTTTTCAAGCTGGTCCTCCTCATTCTTTGCCCTAAAATAGGGGCATGCGTAGGGTTAGGGGTTAAGGGCTTGAGGCTAGCATCTGTCATTGCTGGCATGCGATGCGACGCAGAGAAAGAATGTGATCGCAGCAGAGAGAGTGCAAGGGAGAGTGGAGTTTGTGTGTCTGAGTGCATGGAAACACCAGCAGCTGGTGGTTTGGATTTAGACAAATGACTGGTATGCTGTAGTAACCCAGGGCAGGGACACTGCTACCGCTGCTGCTGCTGCTGTGTGTGCATATCTAGACTGCCTTTCCAAAAGCATCCATAACACTAAGACTTCTTTTATCACATTACAACTACAAATATTTTGCTTCTTAATGGGTATTTAGGAGACAGACCAATACAGAGTATTATTGAGAATTCAAAGGGAAAAAATTTGACTTTTTCTTTTCTTTAGAGTGTTTTTTGTAAATAAAAACCAAAAAAGAAAATATCTGTCTTTGCTTGATTTTCTGGTGGTTTTGTCTCAGCGTTCAGATTTTTTCATGTTCAAATAGCAAAGTTTCAGATGGACTGAAGAGAGCATCTATGACTTTTCCATGTAAAGGCACCGTATGCACCTAACAAATCAAAACAAAATTAAATCAAGAGCACCAGATAGCAAGAGAATCCGGAAGAGAAAGTTATACCTGCTTCAATGAAAAATAACAGGCAAGCTTACAATACTTCAGTGAGTGGGTGTGTTTGGATGAAGTCCCATGGTATCTGTTTATAATCTGGGTCCGAGACTTGAAAAAAAAAAAAAAAACATCAGGCCATCAACCAGACGGGCCTTCAGAGGTTATACTGACGTGCAAACTGCTGCCTGCAGCAGTGATAGACACTAATTACTAGGAAAAGAATTAAAGAGCAACATCTACTCCTCTGTTCTTGCAGCAAGTCGCAGGAAACTTTGACTACTTTGACTTTCCAGTGACCTCTTGGTCTCTCAGTCCTTGTGAAGAGTCCAAATGATCTTTTAGGAAGACCCGGAAAACCGCAGCCACATCTGCACCGCCACGCCCACGACACTCTGCAGTGACGGTCTCCAGCCGACTCGTACTCGACCCTTTAGGAGCTCTAAGAATATGGAATCTGAGCTGAGTATGAAAGAAAGGCTTAAGGCATCAACCTAACAGCGATCAGTGATTAAGAACTAATGGGGTGGTAAGCTCTAAAGTGATCAAGTCATTTGACCTAACCCTAAGTCTATATAAAAGAAAACACCAGCTCAGTCATTTTTTATTAAAAAAGCCAGAATTCAGAAGTTATTGAACAGGACTTCCCCTCTTCCTGGTTGTTCCTCTAACTGACAGTTTCTACTCTCAGGATGTGGATTTATTTCATCACGCTTCCTTTACAGCAGAACAAATCCAAAGCTGTTTGTAACAGACACCTAATCTTAAACAAGTTCTTCGCGTTTCTACAGAAAATGAGCCCAGAGCCTGGAAAACTGGTTTGAGTAGAGAAAAAAGTACTTGCTAAAGTAACTTAATTTTTTACTATCACAGCTTTTGCAGCTATATCGTGTCACCTCCCTGCTTTTTAATACAGACATACCACTATTATGGGTCTTTATACAGGAAGCTTCAAAGCAGTGGCTATTGAAATATATTTTTTTATTTCTTTGGTATAACTTGTTTCCCAGGATGAACAAGCAAAAGGGCTGAGAGGGATAACGTGACAAGAATGTTTTGATTTTAATCCCTGAAGCAAAGAACAATAGGCACGCTTCAGGAGCAGGTAGATTTCTTTCTTTGAGGATTATTGAGGTTGGTAAAATGTCGTTTAGAAAAATTGTCCCAACGGACAGTTTGCTAACCTGCATCCTGTAGTTGTGGCTCTGATAAAGAAAGCCCAAATCCATACACAAAATAAATGGAAAAAAAGTGCTACATTAAAAATTCACATATAAATCAATGTGTTTATTAAAGCTAAATCTAATTAAAGCTGACTGCTGTCTTTTACTGTTGAAGTAACGCTTGAGATTAGAGAAGGATGAATCAGTGTGGAAAACATGAGATCATGAATTATTGTACATGCAACTGCCCTAAGAAATAATACTTGATAGAGGAAGATAAACTGGACAGAGCGGGTTATGATGATCAGACTGACCTCAGTGGGAGATAGACAGCTGTGAAACGGATCCCCTCAGATTTCCACACGTCTTTTTTCCAGTAAACCGTTTCTCATCCATACAGACATTCTTAGAGAGGTGACGACTCAGACTGAAAGTAGTTGTTTGGAGGGGTAAGCATGGTCGATCACTAAAGAGGTCAACGTTTTACCCCAATTCCCATCAGCTATTGCTCACAAATAGCCATTAAAACCATTTCTTTGGCCACTTTTTAATTATTATTAATCATTACTGTGTTTTGAGTGTTTATTCCGGAAAAACATAAATTTCTCTTTAATGGGTCTGGATTATAAATGATGCCTTACGTTCATCGGAAGCGGGTAGATATTGACCGATTATCAACATTTAAAACTTGATTTTCATTGGTGATGAGCTGAACCCTATAGCTTAGTGGAAATAAGGACTATTTACTCTTCAGGCCGATTTACTGGAGTTATGAGACTGATTGATCTGTTCAAAAGTTGAAAATGTAAAGTAGCACAACTCCTGATGAACAAACTACTTTTTGAAAAGCTGACAAGTCGAGCTGACTCTTAGACTGTATCATGGCTTTAAATACACAGAAAAACCTGAAATAGCAGCAGAGTCAGATGCCACTTCAAGTGAAAAAACAGTGGATACACCATGTTGTACCTCAACAGCTGTCCTACATACCTTACATTTAAAGTACCTGCATACATGTCTCATGTCTGTGACTGACGGCTGATAAAACTCACTGCTCCAGCAGTTGGTCGTATCTTGACTGAGAGTCTCTTTCAGCGGCGACAGCTCTGTCTTTTTCTAGGACTGCATTGTCTCTGGCCTCACGCAAATTCCTAAACCCAGGAACAAACACACAGTTTAAATCATTGCTCAGTTCAAGCCATCTATGTGATCTCTGATTTTATATATCAGGAAAAAAGGTGAATGACCAGATGGTTAACAGATCAGCCAGTTTTCATTCATGGAGTAAAAGCAGAGCTGTCACTATTATTAACAACTATACCAATTAGTTGATCTGAATAATAAACAGAGTCAGACATTTCATCATGTCCAAATAACAGCAGACTGGTACCTGTTCTCTCTCTCATACATCTCTCGGGAGGTTCTCTGAAGGTTCTCGATCTCCTGACTTGTTTTCAGCCGGATATTCTCCAACTCATCTCTGAGCTTGTTCTCATACTCTGACTTATAGTAGTCTCTGTGGTGGAGAATTAAAGTTGATTATGTAAAGACTGTTCTTTTTACCTAATGCTTAATTAATAATTGGTTAAACATGATAAAAATATCTTTTAAAACCAGACAAATCAAGGGGAATGTGCTTTGTTTAACTGATGGAAAGATGAGAGTCTGACCTGGATGCTACATATTTTTCATACGTATTCTCTCTGGCTTTCTTTGCATCCTCTAGTTGTACCTAGAGAGCAAAAACAGGAAGTAAGAGTGCATCATGTGACCTCATCCTGCTCCTGAACGCCATCCAAAATACAGATAGGCCTTCTGGCTGGTGGACCACAGACCTGTAGTCTATCTAGACGATCTTCTTGATGAGCGCAGCGGACACTGAGCTCCATGTTCTGCCTGTGCAGGTATTCCTTGTCCTTCTCCAGGAGAGTCACTGACTGCTGCAAGGTCGCCGCCTGGTGGGCAATATAAACAGATTTAACAGTGAAAGTGTATTGAAATATAACATAACTAGCGAAAAGTTGACATGACTCTCAGATTAAATTGTGGATGTTAACAATATTTTCAAGAAGATTTTTTAACCTTCGAACTTCATACACGTAGTTGGTATTTGGTAAAATTACATTTAAATTGTTCACCTTTCTTCTAGTTTTCCCTCAAAATATAAATGATGACAATTAAAAGCTCACCCTTTAACTGAGCTGCTTCTCACCCAGATATATTCTGAAAAAATAATTCTTAGTCCCCAAGTGGGTTTACAAACCGTAATTTGATGTTGCTTTCGGGGAAATAACTTCTTTTCTGCATCATTAGCAGGTCTTTTACTTTGTTCTGTGGTTGATCTGCACACTCAACCCCAAAACATCTTCCTCTCTGGGAAAGGAGGTCTCCATTCTGAGCAATATGATTGCTGACAACCTTACAAAGCCATGACAACATCCTTTGGGCTTTTCCTAGTTGTTAACTTCCTTGGCTAATCTTAGAAAATGTAAGCTTCAGACTTTAATGTAAATAATGAAATATTCTTTAACAAAACAAAATCAAAAGTAACAGAAATCAGCAAATTTCTGTCTGATTCTGGCTTTAAGTAACATAAATCAGTCGATTTACATCTAAATCTGGTTTTAAGTAATGGAAACAAGATGATTTTTGTCTGATTCTGGCTTTAAGTAACATAAATAAGAGGATTTCTGACTGATTCTGGTTTTAACTACCGGAAATAAAATGATTTCCATCTGATTCTGGTTTTAAATAACGGAAATCAGTGGATTTATGTCTGATTGTGGCTTTAAGTAAAGAAGTAGCCATTAAAAACTTCCCCACTTTCCTTATATTATTCCTTATTTCCTATAATTCCTTTTTTAACATCAATCCTTGTACTAAAGTATTCTTTCTGTCATGATTTCTGGACATTAAGATCCAAAGAGAATATTTATCTGCTGGTCAGACCCTTTAACTCAGTGAAAGGGTGGAGTCAGAGTAAAAAAATATGCAAGCCCATGAGAACGAGGGGTCCCTCCAGTGGCTGGAAGTTGGAGGGGATTTTTCTGGGAGCTGCAGGGAAGTGGGCTGTCATTCGGCTGACATTTGACTGGGAAGGGACATTTTGAATGGCTGCTACTGTAACAGAAATCAGTAGATTTCTGTCTGATTCTGGCTTTAAGTAACAGAAATCAGCCAATTTCTGTCTGATTCTGGTCTACTTGAAGCCAGAATTTGTGAATCTCTCTGTGATCGTCAGCCATTAAATTCAGGTCTATATCTCAATCTCATTGTGATGCTAACGATCAAATATTTTCAACTTTATCTAAAACAGCAGCTTATCAGTGAGTGAAAAGCAGGCTCTGTGTGTAGCACCTCACTGCTGAGTGTCTCCCTCTCTCTGGTTATTGCAGCGTGAGACAAGTCCACCGCCTCAAACCTCCTCTTTAACTCCTTCAGCTCTGATTCTAATTCATCACGTTCTCTGTGGAGTTAAGCAGAAGACAGAACATACGTTTGAACGTGCAAAACTAAAAGGTTTAAAAAAAACAGGTAACATGAAATCGATTAAAAACTACTTTAAGTGATCAAATTAATAAAAGGCATGTCTGAAACATACATATCCTTACATGGCAAGAGGACTCAAACACATCTAAAAGGTATATTCTGTTTGAACAGCTCACAATAAAATTGATTAATAAAAAGTTTAAAGTTGTTATTCCTTTTTTTTACTACTTTACTGTAACATTGCCATAAGACAAAAAAAACCACCTCCTGATGTTTGGGTAGTTGTCTCTGCGATAGTCGCCCTCTTGGATATGCTGCTTGGTATCAGCCAGCTCTAAGGTCAGCCTCTGGCTCCTCAGCTCCAGGTCTGCGCGCAGCCGCCTCTCTTCCTCGTAGCTCTGATCATCAGTAGATGTGTTGCAAAAAACACAAATGTTTAAAACGTTAGTCAAAAGAAATAAAAGTCTGTAAGCATCTGCATATTCAAAATAGGAAAAAAAACAGCAAAAAATCCAAAAGTGAGCCAACACAGATTGACTCAAAATGTCCAGAACAATGGTTGCTAGCTGTAATAAAAGTTTTTATTTTCCTACATTGTTTTTTTTTCTTTTAATTCTTGGTTTTTGAGCCTGCATGGTTAAACCTGACCGCATGGCCCTGCCCCGATGGTGCGTCTGCTGGGTGTTACGCATTGAAGATTTTAAAAGATCAGGAAATGACACTCATACCTCCATCAAAAGCTTCATCTTGTTCCGCTGTACATCCAGCTCCTCAGTCAGATAGCTCTTCTGTTCACTCAGCTGAGTCAGCTGAGCACGGAGAGGAGTTACAGCCTCATAGAAACGCATCTAGAACCATGACAAAGAGCTTCTTCACCATCTTCTTCATCAGACACTTTTACCTTCTAAACGATTTGCAGTGGGGTTCAGTTATGCAGAGGAAACCAAAGGTGTGCTTACAGCTACATATTCCTGGATGCTGAGTCTGTCGTCAGGAGTGCTGCAGAGCTCCTGGTAGCGCTCCTGGGTTATGTCCAGATCGCGCAGGGAGCGGCGCAGCTCTCCTGCCTTCTCGCACAGCTGCCGGTTAGTCTCCTCCAGCTGCTGCTGCCTGAGCAGGATGGTCTCCATCTCCTGCTTACGCAGAGCCTGCTGTTTCCTGACCAGGACAGGCTCTATTAGTGGATTCTACATTGGGGTTTAGCTGCTGGATGATTCTTGCTAATGGCTTTGTGTGCAGCATGCAGAAGAAAAATAGTATCAAAGCAAAAAAGGCACTGAAGAAAATTGTGCTACATATATTTTGACCATTTATGGATAATTAAAAAAGAGAAACTTTACTGAGAGCAGAAACAACACAAAAGCTTCAACTCTTCTTTTTTTAAGGTCTACAGGATCTCAGTTTGACCTCTGGGCAATCCAGTGATTTTTAATGTATCACACTGGGAATCTGGTGCATAACAGTTTTGATATCGACAAAAATAAAGATATAAAAAGCAATAGTAGTGCATTCGTTCACTTGGATCTGATTGTTTATGCAGGACGATGTGCAATGGTCTTTTTAACACTTACAGTATCCTGCATGAAGGCCAAAATTCTATATTTTGGTTTTTAGAAATGCACTTATTAGATTATTATTTGGAAAACGATTTAACCATTTATCATTTTTGTCCCTTTCATTTGAACTCTATTGGTTTATTACATAAAGATCCCAAGTTACAGAAAAATCTGAGGCTGTAATGTGATAATGGTTAAAGGCGTTTTAGCAAAGAAGCAATAAATTAGATCTTTTTTATAGTAACAGAAGATATTCCTAAAGAGAAATGGAATTACCTGTTCTCCTCTTGTGCAAGCTTAAGCTGGCTGTCAAGTTTAAGAGAGAGGACCTGCTTTTGATGCAAGGCGTCGTTCAGTTTTTCCTCGAGTTCCTCAACCTGAAACAACATCATTCTTATCATGCACACATCAATAGAAAACATTTGAGAATTGAATGCAGAGAAAAAAATAATAATACTGGAGATGTTGATAGCAGATGTCAATAATACGTTTGTTTATAACTTGTAATGGTTGCTGTTGAATATTCTATCTTGATAAGCATTAAAACATTAAAAGCCCTGATTGTTTCATCCCCAATTAAGGGACAACTTGTCATAAAAAAGGGGGCGTTACATTAAAACTAGGGCTGCAAATAATCGATTAATATGTAGATTATGTATACTTCAATTCATTAATTATCGGAAAGCGAAAAGTTTCCTTTAAGAACACTTTTCTCAAAATTAAACCAGATGAAACTAAAAGTTTTCATTCAATAATCGATTAATCTCGACTGATCCGATTAATTGCTTCAACCCTAATTAACACCAATTATATTACAGCAATAAATAATTTTATTATTTTTACACTGATAGAAAACACATTAGGTTGCATTTGTAATTCTTAAATTGTATTTTTAGCATATCTGGCAAATTTTATAATTTGAATTACTCTTTTTTTATTAGGTTAACGTGCATGTTTTTAAATATGTTGTTAGGTAAAGCATATTGTTCTGCATGGCTAAAAATGGGTAATAAATAAAGAATGTGATCAGATGTGTTTTTATGAGGGCAGGTGTTTATAACAGAGCTACAAAACAAATCTGATCACGACCTGAAGCCCTCCTAGTTCTACTCCACCTCTCTGCTACCTTTGCCATGTGGTCCGCCTTCATGTTGTCTATGATCAGGTTCTTTTGGGAAAGCTCTATTTTCAGCAGCTGGACGTTGTGCAGCAGCTCCTTCCTCTCGATCAGCTGGCGCGTGACCTTCTGGGAGCCGTTGCGTTGCTCGTCGGACGAAGACACATCCTCGGTGGTCGGTACTGTTGTCTCCAGGCTGATGTCCTCAGACTCCAGGTCCAACGAGCTGGAGATGTTAGCTGTTGTTGGCTTCAGCTGCTGCTTCTTGGGAGCCATTTCTTTGTTTCTCATGCACTTAGGGGCATTAGTACTGATACTATTATATCGTCATAATTAATTATTCAGCTTTACTCTGAAACACAGACCCCAAGCCTAACGCTGTAATGTTGTTAAGCACATTTTAAATTAAAAACTAATTTCTATCTTTATAAACAAATGTGAAATAAGGCTAAAGTCCCCAAAAAAAAACACAACAACAGACAGTAAAGTGTTTAGTTTCAAGGGTCCCGCTCCGAGCTGTCTGCTTACCGCCAGCTGTTCTATGATTGTGTTTCAACTGTTAGCCACAGCGCCCTCTGTCGTAAAGACGGTGAATAGCAGACAACGTGCATAGATTTCTAGAGGTTGACGCCTAGGAAACTACGTGTCAAGCCATCGGCCATATTGTGAGTGGCATTTTTTTTTTGTTTCTAGCACGGGATTTCAGCATTGATCTCTATTTGATAAATAGAGATAGATATCAGTGGGTTTCAGTGGCTGCGTACCAATGAGGATCAACTCATTTCAATTCATTGCGTGATATCTGCAAATAGTTTCGCAGCTCAAGACAAAACACTTAAAATGTAAATCTCAAATCCATTCTGATGCTGATTCATATACAATTACATTTAAAATGAATTCTTAATTTAAATACATTTACTTTTTCTTTAACTTTAATTACAGATAGATAGATAGATAGATAGATAGATAGATAGATAGATAGATAGATAGATAGATAGATAGATAGATAGATAGATAGATAGATAGATAGATAGATAGATAGATAGATAGATACTTTTTTACATAAAGAAGAACTACACAAAAAAGTGTCATTTTTTTCAGTTAGCACTTCTTGTGTGTGTGTGTGGGGGGGGGGGGGGGGGGGCTATTTGTAATGATGTATTTATCGATTCCGTTGTCTATATACTATCATTCCTGTAAAAAATACCCACGGCTGTATATTGGTTATTTATTATCAATATGCTTAGTATTTAAAAACACTTTACTGTACAGTATTTTATTTGTTTATTGTTTTAACTCTTTACTATTATGTTGTTTTTATACATTTTTCTAAGGTCCACATTTGCGTGACCACTTCTGCTTTAATCTTTTTTGCTGCTGTAAACACCTGAATTTCCCCATTGGAATAAAGGGATTTTCTATTCTATTCTAAAACAGAGGTCAGATGATTTAAACAGAAAATGCCATCCACAATATGGCGGAGACTGGCGCTGTTGTCGACGCTCATGCGGCGTTCACTCTAAACTAATATATCTAGGAGTACTGTGGTGCAGTTTAACCTCCTAACACTTAGAGGTGCTATAAGGCGAATGTCTCCTTTATTTGGCGTCTCTCTGTGCCTGCCTTCCTTTACTTTGTTTTTATTGGAAAATTAAATGGACAACTAATACTATCCATGAGAACCGTTATTAATGTTATCTAAGTTGAAAAAAAATATAATTACTGCTACGAATCAGATATTTTATTCGCTTTAAGACATAAGTAGCATATGTCTCGTTGAGCACTGCTGAAGTCCCACCTCGTTCAACAGTTCCTCTGAACTCTTGAATAGTTTAATCGTCCCACAGGGTTAGTTTACACATGGCCAGAACTGCCTGATATTTTCAAGTGGTGGGATAAAATTGACATTGACATACAATTCATACATCGTGGGGAGATATCTTCATCATGTTGAAGTCTAAAACCTTCGTTAAGAAAACCCGATCAGGCGGGGTGATGAAGGTCGTGCGAGAACATTATCTGAGAGATGATATTTGGTGTGGAAGTGAAATCTGCACTGAATGCAAACAAGACTCCACAGTTCTTCAGAGAGACGCTTGTATTGAGAGCAATCTGTGTACCTTTCCTCATTATTTGGTCCCTGACACCAACGTAGTGCTCCACCAGGTAAAATCCACTTAATGTGATCGCATTAATTTCGCAATGTGATCGCATAAATTTTTTCATTTGTTCTTTTTATTGCTTATGTTTTTCCTTCAGATCGACGTGTTAGAAGATCCGGTGATCTGCAACGTGATCATCCTGCAGACTGTGCTGCAGGAGGTTCGTCATCGCAGCGCTCCAGTTTATAAACGGCTGAAGGATATAATACATGAGCAAGGAAGACACTTCTACACGTTCACCAACGAACATCACAGGTACCATGCATCTCTTTCTAACCTGCAAAACTTGGTTTAGATTTGAAGCTATTATTGAGAGCTCTGTTACCAGACTAAAACTACATAGGCTTAGTTGAATTTTACTTTTGTTTTTTGGTGAGTATTTGTCCTTATCTGTCATTGTTTATCCTATTTTATAACCCCACTAATATGTATATAATCCATATCCTAACTTTATTGTACAATCTGTGTATAGCTTCTTACAATTATTCTCCATTTATATGTACCATTTATAGTCCATACTTACATAGTCTCTGTAAACATGTAAATAAATCTTTATATCATGTGGGTAGCAGTGGGTAGCACTGCTGCCTTGCAGCAGGAAGGTTCCGGGTTAAAATCCTGGCCCAGGGTCTCTCTTGCATGGAGTTTGCATGTTCTTCTTGTGCATGCGTGGGCTCTCTCCAGGTACTCCGCCTTCCTCCAAAACTCCAAAAAACATGACTGTTAGGTTTACTACCTTCTCTAATTTCTCTTCACATGTTTGTGAGTGTGTGCATGAGTGTTTTTTTGTATTGTTTGTCTCTCTGTTGCCCTGCGATGGGGTGGTGACCTGTCCAGGGAGATAGGCACCAGCACAACTTGCAACCGCACTTGAGATAAGCATGATGAAATGGATGGATCATGTGTAGCACTTCTAAATAGATGCTAACTGCAATTGATTGCTTTGTGCTAGTGACAGTGTAATGACAATAGAGTTGAATTTTATTCTATTCTATTTGGGTATTGGAGTTAAGAAAAGACAGGGTGATCTCAAGGATGGTGAATAAAGGTTATCTAAATACATTCTAACTACCAGGGAGTACAGTGCTTCAGTGAAAAAAAGTTTTTGAGCTGACAGTTTACATATTTTTGTGTTGCCTTCATGTTCTTCCAGAGAAACATTCATTGAACGGGAGCCAGGGGAGAGCGCCAATGACCGTAATGACCGGGCGATCCGTGTGGCCGTCAAATGGTACAGCCAGCATCTGAAAACAGCTGAGTCTGGCCCAGATGGTGTCAGAGTGGTCCTCCTCACCAACGATCAAGGCAACAAGCAGAAGGCTGAGGACAACGGCTTGCTGGTGTACAGATGTAATGTTGATTAATCTACCTACAGTTCCTTGACTGGATTGAGGAACTGGATTGAATATAAAGCTTGTTTGTATCTGGCACCAGCTCCACAGTCTGTTATAGCTGTTTGCATTTTTTTTTAACCCTTCTAGTTGAGGAGTACATCAAGAGTCTGATAGCAAACACAGAGCTGGTGGACCGGCTGGCATTGTCCAATGAAGACAAGGTAAAAAGAGCTTTTTACCAGCTGATTAGGTAATAATTTTAGGCTAAAAGCATAGTTTTCACCTTTTCCTTGCTTTTCTTTTCAGAATAAAATTGCCAGCAGTAAAATATTGTTTCCGGAGCATCTTCCTTTGTCCAAGATCCAGGCAGGAATCAAGAGTGGCTCGTTTATCCAAGGCACTTTCAGGGCCAGCAGGGACAATTATCTGGAGGCGACAGTGTTTGTCCAGGGAGAGGGAGAAGACAGCAATGAGGTGTGTGAAGACAAAAGATGTCCTGAAATCCTGTTAATTAACCACATTTTTATATAGTTTTATAAATAAAACCTTTGTTGAATGGATAGAAATAAAGCTCTGCTGTGCTCTCTTTTCTTTCTGTCCCCAGGTTCTGATCCAGGGACTTCAGAACCTCAACAGAGCAGTGCACCAGGATGTGGTCGCCGTGCAGCTGTTGCCAAAGAATCAGTGGGTGGCGCCCTCATCAGTCGTGCTGCAGGATGAAGGAGCAGCGAAGGACGACGACGTTGATGGGGACGAGGAGGAAAAATTGGTGAATTCTATGTTTCCCCAAATGCTTTCCAGAGATTGAAAACATTATACTTGGTGGAAAAAAAAACCTTCATGTCTCTGTCTTTCCAGCTGAAGCAGTCACTAACTAAATCGACCAGGAAGGCAACAGGAAAGGTAGTAGGAATCATCAAGAGGAGCTGGAGGCCCTTCTGTGGCATGCTGAATGTCTCCCAAATCAAAGAAGTAAGTTTACAATTCTTGGTGTCCATGTCTTAGAGATATAAAGCTTTGAAAATACAACATAGAGGATCAGAGCCTTACTTTCACCCACTTATAATATTTGGAAAAATCTTCCTCTGGAAGGCATGCCCAAAGGACCAGCAGGGACGTTGAAGGCTCTCTGCTGTGACCAGCAGTTTACAGTGACACAAACACGGCGAGCAGAGCAATCCCAGCAGTGATAAAATGAATGTTTTTCTTCTAGTAGGTTTTTGTGAGTAAGTGGCATGAAAATAATGTCAAATCATTTAAGGATAAGTCTGGTCAGCAAGGAATAATCTATGGATCATTATCTATACCTAAAACCAATATGTTCGCTGTGATTTAACGAATTTAGCATTAATCAGTAAAAAGATAAGAATTTTCATCGCCACCACTGAGTCGGGGACCAAAATATATTAGCACCTCACTCCTGACATCTTCCGGCAGCGACGTCATGGTGCGGTAAGCCTAGCCTAATTCTCCACGCTTTACAAGCAAAATCAGTTGGAACTAATAGACACATCTGCAATCAACAAAAAATATTTAGGACTTCACCATTGAAACTTGCGAGAGCTATAGTTAAAATGACAAAGTTATTTCACCTTTCAATTCATAATCCTCCTCGGGTTCCTCATTGCATTGCCAACTTGAAGAGGGAGGATTTGCCATTGAACTGAGAAAAAACACGCAGTATGTAGCCAACATTATGAAGAAGAATGTTTTCAGGATGACTTAGATAATAGGGCATTGTGACAAACCCCAGATACCACATTGGGACTGACAGCCGATACGGCACAAACCGGTAGGTGGTAGTACTGTTCTTTTTTGACGAACATGGATGCCTCCAGTAAAGCACATTCAAAGGAAAATTACTCTCAGTTAAAAACACATACATTTATTGAACAGTATGTAATAATGTCATATTTAAAGTACTTTCAGAAGTTTGAATTCTGGATATAACCAAACTTCTCCTTCAAACTAGACAGGAAAGATTTTGCAGACTTGTTTTTTTATCCAATGTGAGTGCATCTAACATTCAATAACTTTTATAATGGAGAGAGCC